CTGAAAGAACTGAGGAAAAAATTTAAGCCTTGAGTTGCAATATTGAAAGATTCTGTGGGCAAAATATTGAATGATGCAGGAAACATCAAAACATAATGGAAGGAATACACAGAGTCACTGTACTAAAAAGAACTGATCCATGTTCATCCATTTTAGGAGGTAGCATATGATCAAGAATCAATAGTACTGAAGGAAGAAGTTGAAGCTGCAATGAAGGAACTGGCGAAGAACAAGGCTCCAGGAATTGATGGAATACTCACTGAGATGTTTCAACAAATAGATGCCCCACTGCAGGCACTCACTTGGTTATGCCAAGAGATGTGGAAGACAGCTACCTGGACAATTGACTGGGAGAGATCCATATTTGTACCCATTTCAAAGAAAGGTAATCCCACAGAATGTGGAAATTATCAAACAATATCATTAATATCACACACAAGTAAGATCTTACTGAAGATAATTAAAAAATGGTTTCAGCAGTATACTGACAGAGAACTTCCAGAGGTGCAAACTGGATTCAGAAGAAGACGTGGAACAAGGGATATCATTGCTGATGTCAGATGATGGATCTTGGCTCAAAGCAAATACCAGAAAGATGTTTACTTGTGTTTCATTGACTATGCTGAAGTATTTGATTGTGTGTATCATAACAATTGTGGATTAACACTGAGAAGAATGGAAATTCCAGAACACTTAATTGTCCTTATGAGGAACCTGTACATAGACCAGGAAGCTGTCATTCAAACAGAACAAGGGGACATTGCATAGTTTAAAATCAAGAAGGGTGTGTGTCAGGGTTGTATCCTTTCACCATACTAATTCAATCTATATGCTGAGCAAATAATCTGAGAAGCTGGACTATATGTAGAAGAACGTGGGATCAGGATTGGAGGAGGCTCATTAACAACTTGCGGTACGCTGACAACACAACTTTGCTTGCTGAAAGTGAGGATGACTTGAAGTACTTACTGATGAAGACTGAAGACGATAGTCTTCAGTACAGATTACATCTCAAAATAAAGAAAACAAAAATTCTCACAACTGGACCTGTAAGCAGCATCACGATGAATGGAGAAAAGACTGAAGTTGTCAGAAACTTCACACTGCTTGGTGCTATAATCAACGTCAATGGTAGTAACAGTCAGGACATCAGACAACGTATAGCACTGGGCAAGTAAGCTGCAAAGGACGTCTTTCAAGTGCTGAGAAGCAAAGATGTTTCCTTGAGGACTGAGGTGTGCCTGACACAAAACATGATATTTTCATTTGCCTCATATATATGGGGGAGCTGGACAATGAATAAAGAAGACCAAAGAAGCATTGATGCTTTTGAGATGTGGTGCTGGCAAAGAAAGCTGAAAGTACCATGGACTGTTAAAAGAACTAACAAATCTATCCTGGAGGAAGTGCAGCCGGAATGCTCCTTAGAAGCGAGAATGACCAGACTTCGTCTCACCTACTTTGGTCATGTTGTCAGAAGTGACCATTCCCTGGAGAAAGATGTCATGCTTGGTTAGGTGGAGGGCTGAGGAAGGAGGGGAGGCCCCTCAATGAGATGCATTGACACAGTGGCTGCCATGATGGGTTCAAGAATAGCGGGGATCATTGAGCTGGTGCGGGACTGGGTGGTGTTTCACTACAAGTTGGAGATGACTCGCCAGCACCTAACAACGACAACACAGAAGTAACTGTGTTCAATAAACAAACCTTCCATATCAAAATCTGCTGTGACCTCCGCATCTTCACCAAGCAGGGTAGAGCTGGTTGATGATGGTAATGGCACGCCAATTTTCTCCAAACTCATTTCTTCTTCCAAAGTTTTGATCCAGTCTGGACTTTTTAAAGTGATAGTTATAGTCCGGCCTAATAACTAGTTGAATATAAAAAAAAGAGATAAAAAATGGCATGAAAATAGACTATTTTGGAATAAAATGGCCACTTTAGTTATACTACAAAATGGTGTAGAAGTTAATTGAATTAGATAAAATTCAACATAATTCTTTTACACATACCGAATTTTTTTACTAGCTTAAACACTGTTCCCAACTCACTTTAAAAGCCTATCGCAGGTGCGATCCTCAGCCTATACGAGACCAGAAGAACTAGATTTTGCCCCACTACCACTGTCAACCAGAAGGCTGGCGGTTCAAACCCACAAGCTACTCCTCGGAAGGAAGGTTGGGCAATCTACTTCCGTAGTGATACTGCCTCCGAAACCCAAAGAGGGGTTGTTATGATTCAGGTCCGCTTTAATGGCACATAACAACAACAGCACCACTGTCAACAGGAGCCCTGGTGGCGTAGGCTTAAGGCATTTGACTGTTACCCAGAAGGCTGGTGGTTCAAACCCACCAGGTACTACTGGTAAGGAAGACTGGGCTATTTACTTCCATAGAGATACCGCCTTGGAAACCCAAGGTGGGGTTGCTAAGAGTTGAATCGAGTTGACAGCGCTGAGTTTGGTTTTCGATACATAAATAAACACATACATTCATATTTAAAAGACTGTGGTGGCAAATAAAGGTCTTCTTTTCTAAGCCATAATGTAACAGATGGGGAAGCTCAGGAATCTTTACCGAGCTGCCCACTGTGGAGAAATTAGGCCTGGATTTCAGTCCATCTGTCCAGTGATTATATATTTTAGAAATTCAAGATTGTCTAATACCATTCAGAAAAAAGTGACAGACATTCTACTTGTAGAAGTAAAACTGTTCCTGGCCATCAATGTAAATTTCCCCTATCAACAATATTCCAAATCACTGGTTAGGAATATCTCCAACTAATGAAAGCTTCTCTCAATGAGATTGTTATCGACAGGAATTATGTTACCTACGCATAAATGAGGTAGCTGGGCACCATGACCCAACTCAATAAAACAAGTTCCCAGGACTAATGAGCACATTCCTGCCTTGTTCTTATAAATTAAAGCATTTTCTTCATTTGACAGAAATCTTTTCTATTGTACAGATGAGAAGATCCAGAGTATCTATTTTCAATTAAAAATGGAAACTTTTTATATAATGAAATGTAAAAATAGAAATCAAATTCAGTGACATACATTTTCTTCTTAGTCTATATCAATCAGAGTTAATATCTTGGGGAGGATCAAAATTATCCTAGGCTAATTAGAAACTTACTCAAAATATATTTCAACCTATAATTCTTCAAGCATGTCTTAAAGTCTTAACCTGCCTGAATTAAAAATACATTTAGATAATTTTGCTGCACATATAGAATACACAGACACTTAATTCCTGAATGGTTTGTTGTTGTTGTTAGATGCCATTGGGTCATTTCCAACTCATAGAGACACATGAACAGAAGAAGAAAACACTGCCCGATCCCAGGCAAGCTCCATGATCCTTACTATACTTGAGCCCATCATCGCAGCCACTGTGCCAATCTATCTTGTTAAAGACCTTCCCTTCTTTCATCAACCCTTCACCTTACCAAGCATGACATCCTTCTCCAGGGAATGGTCCCTTCTGACAACATGACCAAAGTACGTGAGATGAAGTCTGGCCATTCTTCCTTCCAAGGAGCATTTTGGTTGCACTTCTTCCAGGACAGATCTGTTAGTTCTTTTAGCATTCCATGGTACTTTCAGTATTCTTCACCAGCACCACAACGCAAAAGCATCAACTTTTCTTTGGTTTTCCTTATTCATTGCCCAGCTCTCACATGCATGAGGCAACTGAAAATATCACGGCTTGTGTCAAGTACACCTTAGTCCTCAAGGAGATATCCTTGCTCCTCAACACTTGAAAGAGTTCCTTTGCAGCCAGCTTGCCCAGTGCTAATGTCTAATGTCCTGACTGCTGCTTCCATTGGTGTTGATTGTAGAACCAAGCAAAATGTGAATTCTTTGACAACCTCAATCTTTTCTCCATTTATCGTGATGCTGCTTATTGGTCCAGTTGTGAGGATTTTTGTTTTATGTTGAGATGTAATCCATACTGCAGACTGTATTCTTCAATCTTCATCAGTAAGTACCTCAAGTCATCCTCACTTTCAGCAAGCAAAGTTGTGTTGTCAGTGTATTGCAAGTTGTTAATGATCCTTTCTCCAATCCTGATGCCACATTTTTCTTCATATAGTCCAGCTTCTCGAATATTTGCTCAGCATATAGATTGAATAAGTGTGGGGAAAGGATACAACCATGACACACTCCCTTCTTGATTTTAAACGAAGCAGTGTCCCCGTGTTCTGTTTGAATGACACCGTCCTGGTCAATGTACAGGTTCCTCATGAGTACAAATCCAGTGCTCGGGAATTCCCATTCTTCTTAATGTTATCCACAATTTGTCATGATCCACACGAATGCCCTTGCATAGTTAATAAAACACAAGTAAACATCTTTCTGGTATTTTTTGCCTTGAGCCAAGATCCATCTGGCAGCAGCTATGATATCCCTTGTTCCATGTCTTGTTCTGAATTCAGCTTGCCCCTCTGGAAGTTCTCTGTCAATATACTGCTGAAACCATTTTTAATTATCTTCAGTAAGATCTTACGTGCATGCATTAATGATATTGTTTGATAATTTCCACATTCTGTGGGATTACCTTTCTTTGAAATGGGTACAAATATGGATCTCTTCCAGTCAATTGTCC